TAAAAGAGACTCTATATATCCTTATTAATTGTTAGGAATAGAGATTTGATGAAAAAAATACCCTCACTATATCCTTATTAATTGTTAGATGCTTCTTTAAGTGGTTATCCAAATATAGTCATCATCTTTTTCGAATTTTCCGCTAGGCAAAGATAGATAGCGAAAATGGCTCTCTAGAGTGTGCAAGATATAGAAAAGTTGTTGGAGAGTGAAAACATATAAAAAACAATTTTTATGCAGATGACACTCCAAATAATGATTTAGAGAGTTGATTTTAGAAAGACTCTTGGAGATGCTCTTAGTGAAGTAAGAACAACTCCAAGAGACCCTCTATATCCTTCCTAATCGCTAGAATGAAGATTTTGGTGAAAAATAGCCTCCAACAGCTTCTTTATTTTGTTATCTAAATATAATCATCTTCTATTCAGAATTTCTCACTCGTCTAAAATAGAAAACAAGAATAGCCCTCACCTTGGCTTATAGGGGCTTAAGCTTCTGCATTATAGAGTATTGTAGCCTACTGTAACAGAAATCAGTGAAACCTTTCTCGTTGGCTTCACTGACTTCTCCTGATTGCTAGTTCATCTTTAATTGAAGAGAGAAAAACAGCTCTTGCTATAGTATCATAAAGTACGACTACAATAGCTGCGTCAGAAGAAGTTAGAGCCGTTGCCAAAGAGGACCTAAGACATGGTACTATTTGCCATCATAACATGATGTTTTCATTTTTCTCTGTCCCTTTTGCAGTCCTATGTGCGTGAATTGTCATTTGCGCCTATTAGTATCTAGTTTATTACTACTAGCACAATGGACGCCCCACATGGCGTCGGCTTTTGTCACGTACTAAGGGTTTGTTTGGAATAAAGGATTACAAAACAAAAGTAATAGGAAAAAACACAAAAATGCCGGTGAGTGAAAACTGAAAAACCGTAGGATTTCAAAACAGAGGAATGAAATTTTTGAACTGTTTGGATAGCAGGAAACGACAAAATGCACCACCACATGTCCAAGCAACAAAACACATTTTATTATTTTGTTTAGGAACAAATTACTTCTGTTAATTTGCTTAACTATTTTTAGGTCTGATTTACATACTTATTTATTCTCATGACATGTTATTATGGTATAGTAATATTTTTTTTGAAAACTGGTATAGTAATATACAATTGCCTTCTTTACTCATGCTATCTTATTATATATAGTGCAGAACCCATGGTGTAGTTAGGGCGTGTTTAGATACAAAATTTTTTATGTTTTAGATACTGTAGCACTTTTGTTTGTATTTGACAATTAGTGTTTAATTATGGACTAATTAGGTTCGAAAGTTTCGTCTCGTGATTTCTCACCCAACTGTGTAATTAGTTTTTTTTTTCGTCTACATTTAGTACTCTATGCACGTACCGCAAGATTCGATATGATGGGTACTACGTAAATTTTTTTAAACTAAACAGGCCCTTACTCTCACCTAGCACCTGGTTCATGGAAGACAGCAAGACACAGCAACGGAGCGTAGTGGGAGAGCACCAGAGCGGGAGAAACGGCAAAATTATATGTTTTATTTCCTGCGTTTTGCACATCAAACATTACCTAGAATTTCAGTGATCCTTCGTTCCAATCGCATCCACGCCATTCCTTTCCTTTGCAAAGTTTTCCTCCAAAATTTCTGTAAAAAGCCTTTCATCCAATAGGCCCTAACAGAGAAACGAAAATGAACAGTTCGACAAACAATGACCGGAGAATAGTTAAAAAAACAGGTGAACAATGTTCGAATAGTGTTAGCTACAATAAACGGTCAGCGTCATGAACAGTACAGAATTTACTAGTATTTGCTGCATTGGGCGATGGGAGAGTGAACATCACCGAAACAGTGTCGTGTACAGTAGTCGGAGCACTGAGGACGCAGGAATTTATTCCTGATCGAGGGATTCTATTATACTGCTTCTTCCACGAAAGAATGCAATTATAAAATTCGTGCCGGCCAAGTTTTAAATTTATCTAAATTTATAGTAAATATTATTAATATTTACATATAAAAATGAATTTATTATAAAATATATTCTACGACTAATCTAATAATACTAATTTTATATCATCAACGTTAATACTTTTTTATATAATTTTGATTAAAGTATATACTGTTTTGACTTTTCGAGAAGCGAGAATTATATTCTATGGTGACGGAGGGAGTATCCACTTAGGGCGTGATTGGTTGCTTTGGTGAGGGAGAGTCGGGATGGAGAGCCGGTCTAGAATGGTGAGATGCATGCTCAAACCATGCACTCAGGCGTGTTTGGTTGTCTTTGTTGTTGGTCCAGTATAAGATGACATCTTGTTTGGTTGCATGTATGAATGTGAGTTTTGAGTGTATGACACATGGGTCCTGGGCCATGCATCGCAGCACACCATCCCGGCTCACATGGGAAGCCCGATTTCTGCGTACGCTGCGAACCTGCACTAGGGGCCTCAAATGCATGGTCCGGTGCATCGATTTCGTTCGGCACAGGGAACCAAACACAAAGATAGTGCATGACATGATGCCAGATGACGCTTTGGACGGCTCTATCAGGGCTACCAATCACGCCCTTACCGATCGATCTTCAGCCTGTTCGGTTGGCTGGTTCATATCGTTGCTGATTTGTGAAAAGGTACTGCTGGCTGGTTTGTGTGAGAGAAAAATACTATTCTGACTGAAAATTTACGATTGTTTACAACGAGCCACAACCAAACGAACAGACTGCTGGTTAGCTCTCACCCCTAGGTATAGCCGACAGTCGGCCTAGAATCTGCCTGGAACTCATTTGGATGCAACCCTAGCCTGCACCAGGCAACGGTTCAAGGCCCAGGCGAGCAAATTCGAATGCCTGGTGTTGCTTGCTTGCCTGGTGTGCAATTAAATGTACACACTGTTTACTCGTTGGTTTTAGTCAGGGTTTATGAGTTAATAGTGTTTTCTCTCACAACGAACCAGCACTAGTCTGGCTTATCAGTCCAGAAACCGACCAGCGAACATGCTCGTAATGTGATGATTTTCTACTATTAATTAATTGAATAATCATCCATCCAAGTACTCTATAGTTTTTGTCTTTCTTAGAAACGGGTACTGTTACTGCTAAAAGGTTTTTCTACCCGATAATGAGGCGTCAAATTATTATTCGACTGTTCATTATATCATTGTTTATTTTTAAGGTCTAGGTTATGATTTTCTGTTATTTATTTAAATCCTTTATTTATCTTCACATATTATTTAAACAAAAGATATTAATGTTTTGTAGACAAGGAAGCATACTTTGTATTCGCAATAGATTTTGCTTACCCAGGCACCAGCCAAATGGGTCTTGTTTACATTGCCTGGCCAGACAAATATCATCAACTTTTCGAACAACTTTCAAACAACACTTTTTGCCAGACAGGTTGCCTAAGCCTCCAACCGAACATTCCCTAACATTGGCCAAAAAATTCATGGAAATTTTTTGCAATTTATTTTTGTGGAAATCTCAGTGGGTCATATTCAAATAATTACTGATCCTGCACACTAAACTATTCCATTTGTGCTGAAATACAAGGTATCATAAGAATTTTAAAGTGAATTATAGGATAAAGCAAATAAGGCATGCAAGTCTCACTTGATTGTAGAGATATATTATGATTACCATGTTTAGGTTGGTTATACATATTAAAAATAAATAATGCTTGTGAATGCTGTCTTTTAAGCTAAACTGGATCAGGTATAATCTCTTATAATAATTTAGCATAATTTTTAAATATTTGAATGTATAGTATTTTAGAATGGAGGAAGTATCTTGCCACGGACACACAAAATCATAGACATAATCATATATTTGGCAAGCTTGAGCACGCCTGAAAATCCATACTGCATTTTCTTTTTATATGGTTTAGAATAGATTGATATCTTGCTATAATTCGAAGAACATTCTTTTACCATCCTTAGATGTCACAACATTTTAATTCTGACAAAAAGATGAAAATCAATAGTTCAAAAAAAGAGATGAAACTTAGACTCCGTTCTTTCATTTCCTCCGTCTCCAAATAAATGCACATTTCATTTATCGATATGTCAAACATTTTTATATCTTAATATTTATATTTCAAAATAAATTACTATAAAATGTTAATTTATTATAAATATTAATATTTGTTGTTATATATTTGATTTAATTAAACTTAAAAAAATTTGATTTTTTGAAAAAGAGATACACATCTATTTAAAGACTGAACGACTATTTTTTTTAAAAGACTGCCATAGCCCATGTGCTACGAAACCAAACAGCAGCCCCGTGACCTGCATGAAGCTCTGTGCAACGGGCGCCTATTCTTCGTAGACTCGTCTATAGGCTGCTGCCCTAGTGACCTTGGAGACGACGTTGACAAGACCCGTCGACTGGGCCGGACATGTGGAGCCACCCTCGCTCTGCTGCACGCCAGGTGGGGGTGGTGGGGTCCTTTCGTTCGTCCCACTCCCACACGCACCATCTCTCCCACTGCCGTGCGGGCCCCTACATCCTCCGCCTGTGGCTATCCGCACCCGGGACCTGGGAATGGACCTCGCCTGCAAATATGGCGGTGGAGGAGCTGCACCGCGCGCCGCTATGGGTACGCCAAATCTCCGTTCGCTACAGGAGACCGGGACAGGCAGAGGTTCCGCCCCGCGCCTGTATCCGCTCTCGGGGCGGGCCCCACGCCTGTATCCGCACCAGCGACGGGCTGCGGCATGATTTGGGGGGCCGTATACAGGCCCTCCGGCGGCAGCGTGCTGCCCGTTCCCGACCTGTAAAAGGAGTGCTGACGGTGGGCCATCCTGCTTTGCCGGTTGGCTTGGCGTAGGCGCGGTGCGGTCAGCCTAATCCCCGCACCGCCGCTTGCGCCCGCCACGCAGTGCTCCTCTTCCGCTTTCCGCTTTGATCCGGACCCCACTACTCGCCGCCTCTCGCCTCTCGGCTCCGCCAACCATCGCCCACCGCCGCTGCCGTAGCCGTCGAGCAATGCAGCCTCCCGGCCCGGCTCTGCCGCCGGCGGTGGCGGTGGCGGCGGAGCTGGCGCAGCTCGAGTGGAGGCTGGGCCAGGTCGCCGGAGAGCCCGCGCGCCGCGAGCTCGCGGAGCTCGGCGAAGCCGCCGCGGTTCGCGTCCTGCGGAGGATCGCGAGGTCCCAAGCGGAGGTCCGGACGCTTACCCGCTACATCGTTTCGGTTGCGGTGCAGGAGATGTTCGCGCTCAACGCGCAGGACGTCCCCACCGCCGTGAGCCTCGCCTGCAACTCCGCTCCTTCCCTCAGTGGTGAGGCTCGACCGTACCCCGATCCGCCATGGCCGACCCCATTCTTCGTCACTTCAGGGTTTGTGTGTGTGTGTGTGGGTGGGTGGGGTGGGGGGTGCTGAGGAAGAAAAACAGTATTGCTATCTATCAACCGGTTAATTTAGTAGCTTGTATCAACTGATTTTTGGACCGATGGCCCAGGCCGTCCGATGCGTCCGCCATTGTTAGGTGTATGCATCCATCATCCGTGCGCGCGTAGTACGTGGCAAAAGTGGAGCAGCGGCCGCCATGCCTGCTGGCTGGGCGCGGCAGGAGATCCAATCCAGGACATGTCGCATGCAGTTCGTCATGCACGCTTCTCGCTATAGAAAAATTTGTAAATTTGTAAGTTTGTGAAAAATTTGATGATATTTGTGAACAATTTGATATATATTTGTCATATCTGGAATCCATAGAAAAAATTTGTAATTTTTTTTTGAAAAATTTGGTATATATTTGTGTTATTCCTAAATTATATCACTCTGTTCAATAAATTACACTAAATAAATCATTGTAAATATAGCAATAAGACAGTGTAAATATAGCTAGAAGACGGTGTAAGTGCATGGGAAAAATTCAGTTGACATGAGAGGCCAAAACAACTGAATGTCACATAGACATATCCAAGAAAAACTGTCTTTTTTTTTGGTTCATTAAGTAAGGTGTTTCTGTTTCCAGCCTCCTATTATTTTTTCTGAACGACTACTGCAATTTCAAATACTAGTACTACAAATGTTCCATTTTCCCGTCCAATTTGTGGTTGTGGATTTGTATGTGCCTCTGTTTTAATTTTAGTTGTGCAAGTTTTCTGTTGCCTACACACCCTTTTGGCTAGCTGTAGGCCTGCAGCTGTCGCCATTTAGATTTGTGGAGCGTTTTTGCTAGCCGTTTGTTTCTTGTGGGCATGTATGTCACGTAACGGGGACTTTCGATTAAAATAGCTTTGTACGTAATGCTTTCCTTTTTTTTTAGATAAAGCGTAATGCTTTCCTGATAATAGAATATGGTGTTTAACAGATGAATCTGTACAAGGGCCGCCGTGCCACAATGAGGTCCAAATGGAAGAAGTAACTTCGGGCCTCTCAAACCATTGTATGGCGATATGCGAGGGTCAAGGTCAGGAAGGTTATCCAGTGATGATGGCAATTGACAACCCACCTGATTATGCCATCCCCCCCTGGGACTGGGACCAGGATTGCATTGAAGTTGAGAACATTGTCCCAGGAATGGCTTCTCGGGCAAACCAGATGCTTATGCAGTATGGCGAGGATTGCATTGAAGTTGATAACATTGTCCCAGGAATGGCTTCTCAGGCAAATCAGATGCTTACGCAGTATGGCGACCGTGACCATGACCGTATCCAAGAACTGGTTTCGATTGTACCACATGGTCTTCTCATGCTGGCTGAAAGTCCTGGAAATGGCAGACCATCTGAGTTGCAGAACCATGTACAGAATGGCATCCCCGAGCAGTGGATGATTCCAGCAGATCAAAGAATGGAACCCCCCTCGAGCCGCTTGCAGCATGTGTTAAGATGTCTTAAGGGAGTTGGACCCTTTGGACACCATATCGGTCCGGAGTGTGCAATAATGATACCAATGCCCGAGCCAAATGTTGTTGTGGAAAATGCGTTCAGGGAGTCAGCAAGCCCTCATATCACAGAAAATGAATTGAGGGAGACAGCGAGCCCCCAGATGTGTGCACTGGAGGATTTGGAGTTCAGCAAGAGATTTTTGATACTCTCTTATCTTTGTCAGTAAGTCTCTTCAGTTCCAGTTTCTTACAGGATTGTGAACAAAGAACATACTGCTTCCAAAGTTCAGGATTTTGCGACCCTGTCAGCGAATATGCGGTTTATGTTTCCTTTGTTCATGTACAATTACATATTTCTAAATGAATACGCGGTTTCTTCCAAATATCAGATACCTGTTTGAGACAGCAATAACCTTTGTTTGTGCTATGCTATTGCTAAGACATCTTCCTTTCATCTTACAGGAATAAAATGGAAGATGAAGCTGTACTGACTGTGGACTATATTAAAAAGTTCAAGTCCCTATCCATGGCTTATTTTGAGTCCAAAATCTGGAGGGAATTTGGTCAGAAGAATTTTCAGGCATCCACTAGAACTGGAGCAGATAGGGCAAAGGTCATATTATAGTGATTTTCTTGTTTCTCTTCATAATAGGACTGTCACAATTGTCAAAACAATGCCTTTTATTCTAACATGGTAACCCATGATATGTCATGTTCAATGAAACCAACTAGGTAGAATTTGCAACTGCACATGTCATGAGTTCCCTTCAATTTGTCTGTGCATGATCATTTCAGCCTTTTATTTACATTTGAATTTTTTTGTCCCAACCTCAATGTTGACTCCATTTACTCATTGATGCCTGCAGAATTTGATTCAGACCCAGCTACAACAAAAGTATACCAATGTCATATCGAGATAAGAGGGGATTCCACATTCTTTGTTCTGAAGGTTCGTGATGCTCCCAATATCTTTATTTTGTATTTATGTTTCGTTTTATTGTGATCGTTCTCTTCACATCAACAAGTAGCGATTCTACATTGTTCAATTGTATTAGTTGCATTTAACTTCTCACGAATCTAGCTTCCCACAGGCAACATGCATGTAGTCGCAGTCATATTCTGCTCTGAGATTTCTATGATCTAACTGTTTGCCATTTCCTATTTCTGTAGGTTAGTATTTGCTGTATTTTGCTATTAGTTGTCCATTGCAAATTGTTTACCTAAATGCAGTTACATGAATATTGTAGTGTTTACCCTCATCATAATGTAGAATCTGTGCTTCGAAGGGCGGGCCTGGTGCAAGCGGTAGGGTCTTACCGTCTGTGACCGGAAGGTCCCAGGTTCGAGTCGCGGTCTCCTCGCATTGCACAGACGAGGATAAGGCTTGCCACTGACACCCTTCCCCAGACCCCGCACAGAGCGGGAGCTCTCTGCACTGGGTACGCCCTTTTTTATAATGTAGAATCTGTGCTTCAAACATGTAATTGGGGAACCGGTTGATATTGTCATTAATGTACAGGTGCACACGTGTAGCCGTGCAATCCCTATCAAATTTATGTATCATATCCTAAAATATATTAATTTATAGTTGTATATTTTGACAAACCGTGCACCGAATCCATTGATATACAGATAGAAGGATGAATGCGAACACCATTAATGGGCTAAGGAACCTGGATTGACAAATTTTGCATTTGTGGACCAGAAATCTTTTGAGGAAATTAGGGACAAACTTATATTTCTGACTTAATTGACTGAATCAGGGGCCATATATGGAGAATAGGAGGACGCTTCTACAGAAAATTCTTGGTGACGATAATGTTCTTGTAGTAAAGTTTATGGTTCCTTCAGACAAGAGCACTGATTTCTACCGCCAACATTACCATAAGATTGCTGAAGATGGTATTATTTTGGGTCTGCGGCGATATGATTTTTTTGGTGAGTTTCTCATTATCCAAAATCTATTTGGATATATTACCAACAATATCATACACATAGTCTTGACTCCACATGTTTTCTGCATTTTATTGTGCTAGCCACTAGGATGAACACGATGTCAGCACTTGACATACGTATTGCTCATAAATTTATGATTTTTTTGCGGACATGTGCACATGGTGTGTTTCATGGGTTGAGTAGATGTTCAATCATTCTCCAGTGCATTGTTATTGTAGCCATAGCCAACTTGCAGTTCATGACAGAGTTAGTTGGATTTCTCCGGTGCACTGTTATTGTAGCCATAGCCAACTTGTAGCCAGTCAACACAATGAAGTTAGTTGTAAGTTGTAATGTGAGTAAGCGTGCATGTGAAATAAGTAAGTTGTAATGTGTCGGTGTTTCGGACCGGGGGTCCTCAACCGACTAGTGAAAGTGTAATGTGCCTCCTTCTCCAACCCTGCGCCAAGACAAGCGGGATGGGGTTAAGCACAAAAGGAAACAAGCCGAACAGGGGCGAAGGCCTATGAGACTCACCCTTGGCTTTCTCCTTCTAGCTTTGGACCTCGACCCGAGAGGCCTCGGCCGCCCTGGAAGCCTCCCTCTCCAGCTCTGCGCCACGTCGGGGAGTTAGGGGTCGAACGCAAGAAAAACAAATAAAACAGGGGGCGCGGCTCAACATGACTCACCCTCGGCCTTTTCCTTCCAAGCTAAGGCCTCGACCACCTTGACAGCCCCCGCCAGGGCACCTTTCATCAAGAAAAGTGCCTCCGCTCCGCCTCCAAATGCTTTCAGCGACGGCCTTGGCAGAGGGTCCTCTTGCTCGGCTGGGACTGAAGGTGTCCCATCCACGGCCGCCCGAGACAGCTCCTCCAGCTCCTCGGATCCAAGGCCGCCAAAGGGCAGCTTTGCTCCGAGCCGTGGCCGCCTCGGCCTTTATAAGTCAAGACAAATGAGGCGGAGGTCCTCCACCTCCAGCGCTCACGCCGACTGTAAGCTCGTTGGCACCGGCAAGCAAATCCTTCTGTTGCCAGAGCTGGTCCCAGACGTCCCTCTCCCGTCGGAGGAACATCGATTTCTTGAGGGACCGGGCCTCGAGCTCCTAGATAAGCAAAACACACGTCAAGTACCGCGAGAGAACTCGGAAGAAAGACGACGCGGCACAAGAGAGGAAAACACGTACCTGGGCGACACCAGGCAAGTCCTCGGCCACAACGGACAACGCTGTCCGCAGCGACCGCTCCGCCAGTTGGCGGAATTGCTCGAGAGAGCTCCAGTGCCCCCCTCACCCACGTCCTCAAGGGGCGACAGAGGCTCCCCTCGGGCTGCCCCCGGCTCCGCCACGTAACACGCGGGCTGTCCCACCCATGGGCTCGGTCTGACCTGGACAAGGGCCGAGCTCCCCTCGGCAGAGTCGAGATCGGCTGCTCATGCAGTCTGGGCCGCCTCGGCGTCGCCACCTCCTTCTTCCCGGAAGTATCGTCGGAGGAGATTGTCTCAAACCTCCACTTTCTGGCGCTCTCCTGCGACGGCGGGCAGTGTCTTGGACCGGGGCGGTACCAAGCTTGCCCGCCTCCATCTCTCAGATCTCGGGCGCCCGCTTCGCGCGCCCGCCTCCACCACCTCGGCCTCGGTGGTCCTGGGAGCCCCGGCGTCCGCCACCTCGACTTCGGAAGCCCTGGAAGCCCTGGCCTCTGCCACCTCGGCCTCGGAAGTCCTGGGCGCCTCCTCCCCCGCCTGCTTCGTGGCCGCCTCGGTAGCCTCTTCTTGGGCGACCGGCTCCTTCGGGTTGGCCCTAGCCGACGCCGCGCCACGCTGCAAGGCGGCCTGCACGTCCACCACCCATCGGGCAGAGGAGTTGGTGCTCACCTTGAGTGCCTTAAGTGGCGCCAGGGCGGGCGCTTCCGCCTGACGCTTCCGGCTGAAAACAAACCACTCACGAGGTCAGCATATGACCAAAGAACGAGTGGGAAATGCTAAGAAACCTGCTGAAAAAAGGCTTACCTCGAACGGGGAAGCAATAGCTTCCGCACCGCGTCCCTCGTCCTCGGCGGTGGCGGTGGCGGTGGCAGTGGCACGGACGCCGTGTCCGCCGGAACCGGTCGGCCCTCGCCCGACTCCGACGCTCCCTCGGCCCTCTGCGGAGGCGGTTGAATCGCCCCCGCCGTCGCCCGCTCCACCTCATTGCCGAGCCCATCGGCCGGGCGCGTTGCTTCTTCCGACGCCCGTGCCTCGGGCGTGCCGGCCTCGCCCCGGGCGGGCAATCGCCACCCCGAGGCACCTCTCTCCTCCCGAGACGCCAGGCCGCTCGCCGACGCCTCTGATCCACCGTCTCTCCCGACGTCCGGGAGGTGGTCCAGGGACCCCCGCCTCGCTCTCGCTTCGTCGTTGCCGCCGAAAAGTCCATCGACGACGATGACGGAGACGGCTCCTCCGGAGACCGTCGCGGCTCTCTTTGCCGCGACGCTTTCTCCCGCTGTCGCGCTTCCGAGACTCTTCCTCTTGCGCCTTGCCTCCTCGGCGTCCTTCCGCTCCTTATGCGCCTCGGCGTGTTTCCTGTTTTCGCGCTCGGCGTCCCTCGAACGGGCGGCGGGGAGGCTTCGCAGACATCCTCATCCCCATACAGAACGACAAACGCAATAAGGGAACGGATCGAAAATGTAAGGAGCGGAAGGCCTCAAGGCCGCAAAGAACACGCAAACTTACCAAAGAGATGTACCCCGTGACGGGCGATCGGGAACGAGGTCGACCACTCGCTCCTCACCGCCCCTCCACCGCCTCTCTCTCACCGACGCAGAATCTCCTCGTCGGAGAGGGCGACGGCGACACCGACGACGCCGCCGATCGGCTCATCCGGTGTCATCTCGAACAGCGCCGCTGTCGAGCCATCGTGGCGCAGCACCCTCCGGCGGTGGAAGGCCGCCACGACCACGGGCGCCAGAAGGCCAGGCGGTGCTGCACCTCTCCAGGCCCTCGGAGTGGTCGCAGCTTGATGACGACCAACGGGACGCCGTACCTCTACCTCTCCGGCTGGCTCTCCACGACCCGCTTGGTATAGGGTGGAAGCCCGCTGTCATCATTGCGGAGGTAGAACCAGCTGTTGTACCAGCGGCGGTTGGACGACGCGAGCTGGGCCGGGATATAGAAGGGCTGCCGGTCTTGACGCACTTGGAGAGTGCAGCCGCCGGCCCTCAACGCCTTCCGTGTACCCGTCGTGCCCGTCGGCTTGGTGGTGAGCCCCGCCCGAAAGAAGTGGAGCCACAGCTCCCAGTGGGGGGCGATGCCCAGGTACCCCTCGCAGACGGCGACGAAGATGGCCGCCTGCGCGATGGAGTTGGGGTTGAAGTTGTGGAGCTCCACGCCGTAGTAATGCGGGAGCGCCCGCATGAACCGGTCCGCCGGCAAGCCGAGGCCGCGCTCGTGGAAGGCCACGAAGCTCACGATATAGCCATCGCGTGGCCTCGGCTCTGGCTCGTTCCCCGGAGCAATCCACTCTGGCCTGTTGGGGTCGACGACCGGGCGGAGGAGACTGTCGTCGACGAGCGACTGCAGCGTCGCCGCGGACACGTCGGACGGACCCCAAGGATCCGCCTGGAGGACAACGGCGCCGCCGGCCATGGGAGTGGTGGAGAATGCGACTATGGCGGTAACACGTGCTCTCGCTTACTCTCTCTCTCTCCCCCTTCTCCCTTCTTCTCCCCGGCGCTCTCTTCCGCTGTTCTTGGCAACCGCTCGAGGGCAGAAAGCGCGAGTGCAGGCAGAAAAGGTAAGGAGGGGCAGGGGCGCGGCTCATCACGTATCTATGAGGGAGGAAAGAAGGCGAACGGGCGGGCGACGAAACCGGGAAGATTATTTCCCAGATCTGGCGCAATTAATGCGGATCCGGCCAAACCGCCCACGCGCCCTACTTCTTCTCGCTAACGGGCCTCCACTTGGATTTACCCGTTAACAGCTCACCAGAGGTGTCACTGCTCGCCCGCCGAGGGTAGCCTGGCATACTCCACCCCTCCTTCCGAGCGAAAAGGATGCGCGAGGGCCGCACAAAAAAAACAGGGAAACTCCTGACCGCCCTCTTGCTCCGAGCAGAGACTCGGGGGCTCTTCCTGCGACCAAGCCGAGGCCAGCGACCCGAACCAACACTCGGGGGCTCGGCATAAGGAACTGGGCACCGAGCCCGTTACGGTCCAGGGGTTCGAAGGCTGGGCCCCCGAGGGTCTCGACAGCCGCCCCAGGATAAACAGAGTCAAGGATGACTAAGGGCGAGCCCGTACATGGCCGAGGCCCAAGCAAACAGTTGCTTGAGATGCCCTAAATCGTGTCCGAGACCGGCAGGGAGGTCTCTGAATGGGATCCCACCGTAGGGAGGCACCGAGCCCCCAGGGCCAATCGAACGACCCTGGGACCCACTAGAGAAGCCCTCTGGTACTTTTGGAGCGCGTCTCTGGACCGCTAGCCGACCCCATTCGAATGGGGCACGGGCCTCCACTTGGACTTACCCGTTAACAGCTCATCAGAGGTGTCACTGCTCGCCCGCCGAGGGTAGCCTGGCATACTCCACCCCTCCTTCCGAGCGAAAAGGATGCGCGAGGGCCGCGCAAAAAAGACAGGGAAACTCCTGACCGCCCTCTTGCTCCGAGCAGAGGCTCGGGGGCTTTTCCTGCGACCAAGCCAAGGCCCAGCGACCCGAACTCGCACTCGGGGCTCCCTAATAACTTTTGTGTACTGCTCATGCATTTTGTCGGTGAGGACTGGTGAAATGAATTATTTCTCATCCTTGCCTTTATTTGTGCGGTTCAACTTAGGACCCTGGATATATGTTATCAATTGGATATATAGTGTCCTTGTAACCCAAACACATGGGATGCATTCCTTATCATATGGCTTGTGGGCTCCCAAAGATGTCATTGTTGCCTTTTCCAAATTTGCTTAGTTTATTATGATCACCAAAAATTCCGTCATTATATTGTTGATATGAATCAGCTTCATAACTACTTGGAGTTCAAGTAACATGATATACATGTGTTAGACTATACATATCTCTCATAATAACTATAAACTAGTTGCAACATCATTGGTAATACAAGCTGATGTAAAGATTGACACAATTTTTATATTGTTTTATGTTATATGAGGATGTTTCCTAGAATAATGAACACTGAATATCCTGGTTGTGCTGAGATCCTTTTTAATTCTTCATCACTTGTCTCTGAACTATAATTTTGTTTTCTCTGCAACACCTGTTTGGTTTCGTTGTGTTGATCTGATGGATACATGTTTGGATTTCCCTCTTATAGTTATGCACTTGGTTTATTGTCTGATTGTTGGTTACATTATATGGACCGGTTCTTAACAGAAGAGGTTGATCAAGACGAAAAGAAATCAATTGCGGCAAAAATGATTAAATTAGTTGACCTTTATTATTTGGCTCTGGATGGGCACAAGGTTAATTACAATCTTATGCTTTGATATGGTCTAGGCTTCCATGCAATTATGAATTTCAAATCATTCTTTTTTTGTAATATTTGATCTGTCCAGCAAAAAATATGCGAAATAAATTGAAAAAGCAATTTCCTGTTGGTTAGATATTTAATACAAAGACCAAAGTTCACTTCACTCGGTTATTAGTCTTGTGGCAGCATGCTCTGTTTCAACAGTTGTTTCTTGCCATGTCTCTGCCAATTAAACAGGTAAATGTGGATCGTAATCTGAGAGTACAAGCATATCCACACTTCATGGAGAAGAAGTGATTTGATTCCTACCATTGTACATCTATTTTGGGCAGAATCTACGATGAGACTGACAGAGTAATATCGCAACAATGTGATGAACAAATTCGTAAGTTGTCTTTCTGCTAGTTGGCACTCCACTGATCTAGCTTAGCTTTCTTCTAGGTTGGTCTGTTTTTTTTTTTTATCATTATTCTACCAGTACTACTTTGCATGTTCATGTGATTTCTGGGTACACTGTGAATTTTGCAGATAATGGAATAGTTAATATTCCAGTTTCTACATCTGAGGATGTATGCACCAATACTTATACAGAGTGAACCGTATTAGATAATGTAATATTTAACTTTTCCAACCTCTACATCTGAGGATGTGCACAGCCAATATTTATTACAAAGTGAACCATATGCTTTCTTAGAATTATTTTCCTGATTTCTCTTGATACCTGTCAGATGCTCTTGTTTTCCTAATTTCTCTCTTAAATAATAATATATGAAGCTAGTTTTTTTAAAGGAATTTGAAGCTACTTATTTTCTCATGTCTCAATTTCTTGTGTTGTGATCAGAGATAACGACACTGCCATGCTTCGATGAGGTGGAGGCAACCTGAGAATGCACCTCCCTATGGGAAGACCGCTACCAAGAGTACTTGACAAAGAGCAGGCAACTTTTTGACCTGGACAAAGAAGAAAAGAACGATGAGTTTAAAAAGCTCTATCAAAGCTACAAACATGTAAGCATCCTATCTTCTTACCTGATGTGTGTAATAACTACAAGGAAACAGGGGTAGCTTCAGGGTCGATCGGCTATCACGATCAATAAATTAATTAACCCTGCGTGCAATGCAGTTGCTCTATGACGCTGACGAATTCGAAGAGACCAAGCGGGACCTCTCAGACGTGTTCATGGAGGTGTGCGCGATCTACAGGATCGTCTACGAGCGAGCAAGGTCTACCAGGAGCGTCACCAAGTGCCGCTTCGTGTGGAATGTCGCTGGAGCCGCGCTGTGCTATCTCCACGCGACCAAGTACGCGGTGCAGCGTGGGGAGAAAACCGCGCTCTGCCCACTCTCAGTTATCCGCCAACTTTACATCTGATACGTTGTATAAATATAAATAAAAGCTACTTATTTCTGTAATGAACCGGGTGAGGTGAGGTGATGTGGTGATGGACCGGGTGTCCGGGTGGCTGCCAGGGTGTGGATTGAACTACTTAATTTCTGTCTGTACACCTGATTTGTTGTAAGCTAAACCTACTACGTGAAGTCTTGCAAAACTGTATGTCAGTGTAATTGTTGTGTTAGGCCAGGAGCCCACGACGGTGGAGACATGATGAACCTGTCGCTGTGTGGTTGAGGAATACCAGTTTCAGTTTGGCAGGCCTCATGGGTGGGTTAGCTGGGGTGGGTGCCAGGCCCAACAAATTACATTCGTCTTGGCGTTTGATTGGTCCTTGACTTCCTGTTGCCTTCCGTTAAAACCTCTTGTTTAGGTGGTTTTTATTTGGGAAATTTTGTTAATGCCATTATCCATAAATTTTAATCTCTTTCACACCATTGTTGATCATATTCCAATAGCCTTGGCTAATTAATATGAGAAGACAATTACTTTTGGTATGAAAGGGATTACATTTTAACACCAATGATATATATAAAAAACATTTTTTTAGTGGCAGATAAGAGATTTAGGTTTATGTTAATGACATGTAAGAAATTTTCTTTTTCTTTTCACAAGCCAAGGGTTCGATAACAATACGATTCACTGTGTCATATGTCCACAATTTGGGCCGCCGGAAACATATTGTCACGTCGAAGCCAAGAAATGAAACATTGTAAAATTGTCTTTGCTCTTTTTCTCTCTTTTTTGTTTGGTCAAGCTGCATTATGAAAGCAGCGGTGGAAAAACCAGACAATTGTTATAGAATTCCTTTCTTTTAAAAAAAAAAATCAGCTTACGTATTGTTGCATTGACCATGTGCCTGTATTGTGCATTACTTGAATGACTGAAATACCCTTTTTATGTGATTTCCGACAACTCAGGATCCCGAGCTCTGAACCCTCGCCGGCGACCGTGGCTGGTTTCGGGCAGCTCATCCCGCCCGTCTCTCAGAAATGGCCGGAGTGAGAGCGCGGCACTCCCTCTGGTGGAGCATGGCCGCCGCCGCCGCCGTCGTCGTCGTCGTCAAAGACCGCTACGGCGAGTTCTGCATTCTGAAGGGCAGTTCCATGCTCCCCACTATCCAATCCCACGGCGACGTCGGGCTGCTGGACCGCCGCTGCCTCGCCGGCCACGACTTCACCCGCGGCGACGTCGTTGTTTTCAGGTCACCTGTTGTCCGCCGCCGTCCGTCCCGGATTCCTTGGCATTTCTTCGATTTGATCCGATTGATGGGGTCGGCCCGCTGATCTGATGCCGTCTCGTTTGCAGGTCGCCGACGGACCATCGAAAAAAGGGCGTGCCAGAGGCTGATTGCGCTGCCTGGGGATTGGATCCAGATCCCGGAGATGCGGGAGATCCGGCAGGTCCCCGACGGCCACTGCTGGGTGGAAGGGGACAATGCCGGCCACAGCTGGGACTCGAGGCACTATGGCCCTGTAAGGCATTCTCTGATGGTCTATAGCCACCCCATGAGTGAATTTTTTGATCTTCATTGCTCCGATAACGTGCCTAGCACATGTTTTATTTGGAAATTATTATAGTATTGTTACAGTGGCCTACGAGAGCGACACAATGCTGAACAGGCTGGCAACAGAGTACTAGTACAACACACACTAATGCTATCACCTGGTACTGACTTGACAATGCGTAAGATCACCATCTTGTGATCTTCTTGCTAGGGTGCTGTTTAGTTTCCAAAATTTTGCAAAATTTTTTAAGATTTTCCGTCACATCGAATCTTTGACGCATGCATGAAGTATTAAATATAAATAAAAAATAAAACTAATTACACAGTTTAGACGAAATTCACGAAACGAATCTTTTAAGCCTAATTAGACTATGATACTAATTGCCAAATAACAACGAAAGTGCTACAGTACTATTTCTCAAAAAATTTCGTCAACTAAACAAAGCCTAGGTAAAAACTCCACAGATTGTTTTGGCACTGGCATTGCAGGAGGGGGCCATAAATTTGATGCTTTTGTGGTCGTGTTCAACCAAGGTTGAGCTCACACCTCAGTGCTGAAATAATGTGGTTTGATACAGCGCTTGGGCTGCAAATTTATCCTGATAGAATAGGCAGAAAGAAAACCTTGCACCGAAATGAAAGGGGACGGGGAGCAATACAGTCTGGTACAATGATATTTGCTACAAAGATACTTGTCATTTACTAACTCGAAAGTTTTAGCACCGGACACGAACAAACTAAGTCTTGTCTTTATTCTGAGTGTTGTTTGGTCTTGGCTGCATCATGGTCTTGTATTAGAATCTTTATATCGCATTCCTCTGTTTACACGAAGCATTCTTTATCATCATTAGCTGTGAATGCACATGGACTTGCAGAGAAATGCATGCTAAAGCAGATTTCATGGTTCACAATCATTTTTAGCAAATTTTGGTGCTCTATTGATATAGTGTTTACATGAATATCTGGAATTGGTTCACTACAGTGACTCGGCAATTTGAAAGTATCCAAAAATATAAAATACCCATTTCGTTTGTTCAGTTTCTTTGTTTAATAAGAACTAGTAAGTCGAAACCTAACAAACCTTATATTGGAAAGAACTTTCCTATCTAAGTTTCACAGTTTAGTTATCAGCATTCAATTTATTAGAAACAAAATGCGATACTAATCATAATCAGCGTGTTCGGCTCGGCTTGTCTCAGCTTTTTTTAGCTTATTCTCTCTCACAGAACACTATTGAATCAGCCAAAACCAGCCGGAACAAACTAGTACACAGTAGTCTTGTGTACCAGCCGAACAGGCTCAATATCATATTTGTTTCTGCAGCACACAAGAATCAGTTTCAAGCCATCTGTAGTTTCAGTATAAGTTCTGACTTCATAAGCTGCAGGTTCCTCTGGGTCTGATGGAAGGGAGGATCACACACATAATCTGGCCACTTGATAGAATACATCGAGTCGGCAGAATGGTGCCAGAAGGCAGGATTATGTCTCAACATTGACATGTTTTCTGATCTGCTACTTTAGGCTTCTCATCTAGCCTTTATTTTCTCATGGTAGTGTAGGATGACATAAGAAGCAACATAATCTTCAAGAGGCAGTGATACCGTCACATTGAGGATTTCATGGTTTCATCTCTTGTAGCAACAAAAATAAACATCCCTGACAGATTTGCTTGTAGGAGCTTACCAGTTGCAGGTTTTCAACATTTCAACTCTATTCAAAATGTATAATGCACTGTTGAGATCCTTTATGAGAGTATTCACGGCTTGCAGTGCCTCCAAAGTCCAATCTTAGAGTTGCATGTTGAATCACTTGCTGTTGTGAGTTGTGACTACTACTTGGTGCAAAATTGCATCTACACCTGTTATGCTGGTTTGAATTAAGCGATGTAATGACCCAGAAGCCAAGAAATGACCATCACAAATGTCTAGAGACTAAAGTTGCTCTTTTTCAACATTTTCTATTTTTTTTTTGTTTTTTTACACAAGGTTCACAAATGAGATGACAGACCGATGATAGAAATTGGATGAGGGGAATGGAAGTACAACCGGCAGTTGTAACATATCTGCCGGCGAGTTTATTGTGCACCAAATATCCAGATTCCAGTGCCCTGTTTGATTGGCCAAATTAATCCACTGCCACTGGTTCCATGGCTTCAGCCTCCTTTCTCAAGTCATCAAACAGCGCAGACGACAAGTATCGCTCCCCAAGGCTTGGAAGAACAGTCTGTACCAATGGTTCACTGGTCAGTACTCTGAAATTGCCTTCATGTCAACATTGTAAAGCAATGTAAAATGATTCGATACGTGTCACATACCACAATGAGTTTTCCTTTGTTTTCCGGCTTCTTTGCTAGCTCAAGAGCAGCAACAGTGTTGGCTCCTGATGATATCCCAACCTGCAAATATTTTAACTAGTTCAGTGTCTATTAAAACAATATGCATCTATCTTAATTCAAAATTGGTTCATGGTGCAGCATCCACGTGCCACACCACCTCCAAAACAATATTAAACAATGCTAAATTTCAAAATAGACACCTCAGGATGAAGTTCTAGTTTTTGAATGTTTTATTAGGTCTTCCTAATGGCTTTCTTCTTTCTTAAGAGAACACTACTTATTTGTCTCACTTACCAAAAGACCCTCCTTGACTGCTAATTCTCGAGCCATCTTAACAGCATCCTCACTTTTAACCTGTCATATGCCCAATTCAATTACCATTACATAATTACATAGTCTTTGTGAATTTAAAAGAGCATCGACTACAAATAGTTTCAGAATTACCTCAAGAACCTTTTCCATTACATCCATATCCAAAATATCTGGCTTAAACCCTACTCCATTTCCAGTGATGAGGTGAGGCCCTGCAATTAGGTTCGGTAAGCAATATAAAAGATATTAAAACCATGCACAGTGGGGAAAATAGTTCTTTTATAGAATGCCAAAGCTCACCTGGCTTTCCACCATTCAGAACATTTGATTCAGCAGGTTCAACTCCATAGATCTGCAAATTTCCATGTACATGCTATGAGATATGAGCATCTAGCTATGAGATTTTTTTCTGTTTAGTCTATGATAGTACCTTTGCATTAGGGTTCTTCTCCTTGAGGTACTTGCCGACGCCCGTGACAGTACCGCCACTCCCGATCCCCATGACGAAAATATCAACCTGTCCAAGTGTGTCCTCCCATATTTCTGGACCCGTTGTCTCATAGTGTGCCTGTCAGATTCAGTCAGTAAATCTTAAGAAACAGCATCAACTGAGTACTAAATACTACCTCTACAAAGTGAAACTCATGGTCAGATCAGGCAAAATTGTTAAAGAAGAAGAAAGGGAGAGTACCTTGACATTAGCAGGATTCTGAAACTGTTGAAGCATATATGCACTAGGATGTTTCTCATAAAGCTCTGCTGCTTTTCTCACTGTTCCACCCATCCCTTTCGTTGGGTCCGTAAGAACCAGATTTGCACCGAA